CGAAAATTTGTCTTATGGCTTCGGTAGTTTTGGTTGTTGGAGATCTTGGAAAGTATGGAACTGATAGGTTAACCGGCCCTATCACTCTATCAGGCCTAAACAAGCTCAAATTCCAACCAGCAACTGCTCCGCAATCATGTCCCACCACATATGCCTTCTCAAATCACAAACTACTATATAAGATTCTCAAAAATTCAAACCCCTCGCATACATAATAACATGGATATGTTAATATGAAGTTTTAAATTCTTTGATTGGGGTTCAAGAAAGGAAAATGATTTTCGCACAACTCTTTTCTCCTTTAGGCTTTGCTTATTTTTGGCCCTTAATCCTCGGTTTAATTTATTCAATCCAAATGTGTAAAATATACATGGGAGAAAAAAGTTATGCGGAAATTACTTCATGTAGAGAAAAAGCTTCTCACCTTTTGTTGACCAAAATGATCAAGTAGGCCAATGAGGTCTCCAACTATGTGGAAGATGGTGTACGAGTTGGGGTTGAGAGGAGCATCAGAGTCGCCATAACCTCTCAAATCTGGCGCCACCACGTGGTAGCCATTTTCCGCAAGTGTTCAATCTGGTGGCGCCAAGCATACCAGAGTTCTGGGAAGCCATGAAGCAAGAGAACCAGAGGACCTGTCCCTTTTTTCTGCTACATGAAGCCATATTCCATTGGTTTTGATCCTCTGGTGATTCACCTCTATCATGAAATCCATGGCTGAGAGAGAAAGAGAGAGAGAGAGAGAGAGAGAGAGAGATATTTTCGACGGCCTGCAGAATGATGAAGATGCTTTTATACATAATTGAACTGTTTAGTCATCACAAGGTTGTCGCAGTCGGTTGATTTGAGGGCAATAGTGTAATAGTCGAAGATGAAAAATTTGAGCTGGGCCAAATTTATTGGTTTAGCACCAAGTCAACAACTATTTTGTACTTTATAATCTTTATGATTGCACTGTTTTTAAGGGTTAATTATACCTCATACCCTTGGTGATGTGGAACCAAAGTCAAAATAGGCAGCTTTGAAGATTCTGCAAAATGTTCTGAAATACTTTAGGTCAGATGGCCAGAACAATGTGCTTGTTCCTTCGCATTCGAGTTAGAATCTCCCTTTTCTACTCCGTAAGCTGTTATGCAGGCTATTGGGGCAGCTCGACAGCAGCAGTTTTGTGATTCTCTCCCTTCCTTCTGTTAGTGTAAATGGAAAACTGGTTTCGATTGAGAGAGGAAGAGCAAAACAGATAGTAAGAAAATTTGAACAGAGAGGAAACTGAATAGTTTTCTTCCTTTCACTCTCGCTTGAAAATGCAGAGAGGAGACTTTTTCATATATCAAAAAGTGAGCACTAACATGCTTTTTACATCACAGTTAGCCTAAACTTGGGACCACACACTCTACAATTCATCTTAGACACTCATCTCACTAATTACATGGATCAATCAACACATGGCACTCATGGCCTTTTAGTAAAATTAAACTTTACACTTTGCAACATTCTGCATAAGTGAATACACCAATTTAGAACATCTTATTTTAGACTTTTCAGCTCAACACTTATAATTCAACACCTTCTTGTATTCAAACCGAAAACTTGTTTTCTGCAGGAACAGTCACAGTAGCCCTAATATACTCGGCATCTACTGCATTGTTTTCATATTGGTTTTTTATGCCTTTGCTTCCTCAGTTTTCTCTTAAGACTTCCATTCACGTTTGGTTTATTATTTTGTGGATGAGTTTGGTGCCGCAGACGCTCTTCTTCCTCCTCTCCTCCTCTTCCTTCTTTTTCGTGTCTGCCTTCTTTTTCAGCGCATCTAGGAGCGACGCGTCTGCTTTCTCATCCACAATCTTGATGAGTTTCTTCTCGTACAGAGTGAAAACGTTGGCAAATTTCACCATGGAGGGCTCAATAAGGCTTGAGTTGTAGTGTTTCTCATCTTAAGATCAGAATACATGGAACGAAGATAATTTGATTTTTGTTGAATTTTTAGATTACACCCGTTTGGATCTTTCTTAGGCGACGTACAAAATGATCTTTGTTGCTTGTACATTAATGTATTTAACCCGCTTACGCTTTGTCAAAAAACAAAATGCTCAGTTTCACGGTCTACTATTATTCCACAAGAATTTTTAACTAAATGTTTCTCCCCTCGTATGTTTGTCCAATTTGCCAATTGGCAGGCACAACATCGAGAGACTCCAGCGTCCTTATATCACTAGTTGTTACTTGGAAAGACACTTTTTCCTTCCAAACCTCCTCCAATCTGCTAGTTTTGTCCCCACTCCCCAGTTTACGCTTCATTTGTATCCAACCAGTGCTCGAGCCTGTTACTTTTACATCAACCACTTCACCAGCCCTCCAACGTTGTGTACCAACACAAGTAGGCAATTAGGGCGCCCACCGAGATAGAACTTGATCCCTCCCCTCTTAGAGCATGACACTAGTTGAAAGTGAACAGGGACTATTCCAGCGGCCACGAATTTTTCAGTCTTTAGAAACATCGGCTGGGACAAATCAAAGTACTTTGAAGAAGCATTGCACCAATTTGCACTAGGATTTTTTGGACGGAGAACATAAGTTGGTTGCTGTTACTTTGATGGTGCCTGGTAGGCACCATTTTGGATCATCCACGCACGTAACCTCAAAACAAGCCCCTCAAGTTTGGCCATTGTTGAAGAGAGCAGAACTTAGGGCTGTCGTTTCCACCCCGTAGCCTTGTTTGTTCGTATCAGTGTATCCACAAGCTCCCCGCTAATCAAAGTTGAATGCATGTAAGATCCAAAATTAGTAAGCACTACAGATAAATTTGGATTAGTATATAGTTGGCATATTAATACAAAAACGGACGTATTAGGTTTAGGGTTGACTAATATTATACGTACATATTTCAAGTAATAACTTATTTCTTTATAAGCACAAATCAAACTTATCAAGGGTTCCTCCGCCCTGCTTATCACCGTAAAATGTTGCCATTAAGCCATCCGCCTTTTGTCGCACCAATGTTGACGATGACAATATTGGCAATGAACATGATACATGCTGGTACAAACTAAGAGCTAGCCATTACGAACAATATCCAAGTCTGCAATTCATGTGTAGGCGAACTAGGTAGAGCGTATTTATGTTTTTAGAGTCATCAAAGGTTCATGATCGATCCAATTCTTTGTGCAATGTTTATGTCAAACTCTATGCATGATTTGATGACCTATTTATATTGTTTAAATGAGGGAATTTGTATAGTTGGATAATACGTTTAATCGTGAAATTTTAGTCATATATGCAAAAATCGAATAAAGATATGTTGAAGAGAGATACATTGCCTTAAAACAATATAATTTTGTCCATAAAATAAGAGAGCGAGAATCCAGGTGTATAACATTGCTTTATCATTTAAGAAAACTCCTGAATTATTAACCAACTAGGCTACGCCTAGTCTAATTTTGTTTCTTGCAACTATTTTTGGATTTGGTATTATTTGAATTTGGCTAAAGAAACACATCATGGGGCATGCATGTGTTTAGGTCAGTTAGATAAACGTGGCTTGTCACCGGTTGTTCTTCTTTTTTAAAAAAGAAAATAGGGCTTCTTTGACTCTTCTATTGCAAAAAAGTATAGTTCAAGTAAGAACTATGAAAGTTTGATAAAATTTGTTACAGGACTGCAAATTCCGCGGCATTCAGGAAATATCCAGCTCCGCCACCTCCGCTTGCTGTGAACAATTGACATAAACCTTGGCATCAGATTGATGGTTCATCCAATCTCGGCGCCATCTGCAATCCTTGCCTGCATTGGAGACTATCAATCCACTTATTAAGCTGATCTTTATGCTTCTGGGTTTGATATTTAGGCTTTTGGGGCTGCTCGACAGTGGCGGACTTGTCATTCTCTCCCTTCTTTTTCTCATACTCTTTCAAAGTGCACAATGCAGAAAACTTGTTCTCAGTAGGAACAATCACAGTAGTACTTGTAACCTCAGCAGCTGCCGCATTGTTGTCGTCTTGGTTTCTTTCCAACTTCTTCTTTAGTTTTCTACGAAGACTTCGTTCACATTTGGTTTTTTATTTTTCAACTGGATTTCGCGTTGCAGACGCTCTTTCTCCGCTGCCTCCTTCTCCTTCTTTGCATCGGCCTCCTTCTTTGCAATCGCATTCTTCTTCTTCAAGGCTTCTAGAAGCGAAACATCTTCCCTTTCATCAACCACCTCGATGAGTTCCTTGACATCTTCGCTTTCGCTCTCGCCCAACAGAGCAAAAGCGTTTGGCGAATTTAGCCATGGTCAGAGCCCAAAGGGTTTTTCGGATGCAGCACGGCTTGAGTTGTAGTGTCTCTGCTCCTATGCTCAGAGTACAAGTGAAAGAAAGGTTTAGCTTCTCTCTACATATAGGCACTAAAAAAGACCCACTACTTGTTTACTTGCTACACAAGGAAACTCAAATTCAAATCCTAATCTGAAAAGGGAAAACTAAAACCAAATCCTGATTGAAACTCAAGAACTGTTACAACTAGGAAAGACAAAGAAAGTTACCATTATCCTTATGCGTCAAGGAAAACCGAAACTTCCCAGAAACAAGAAAACAACACAAAATTGGAGAGTATATACGAGGATAAACCAAAATGAACTAAGTAACGTAATCTTTTCAAAATATGACTTAAAACAAAATACTTAACATAAGAAAGATGTTCGGGAATGGATCTGGTGACATGTTATTTTTAATGTTTTAGTTTCTATCCTTAATATTAAAGTCAAAGAGTGAATGACCGAAAGAACGAAACTCAGTTCTTGATTATCAATTGACTAAAAGATCGAACCTCATACAGAAGTGCGAGTGGCAAAGATTCACATGTTATCACTTTCTAAAACAACACACTCGTTTTTTTCAATGAACTGGGCTGATGGACTTTTGGGCCTAAAATTTTAGTACATTTTCATCTGGGCTTTTCAAACCTTAAGCTGATTCGGATTTGCAATTTCTTGAAAAGAAAAATAAAAGTTTTATTTGTACCCCTTTTTTTTTGTTTTTGGTCAGAAACTCATTGAAAATCACGAAAGAAGCCCACATCACAGGCCGGTGCAAAATACAACGGAACAGAGGTGCTGGAAAAAACTGCGATTTCAAACTCCCTGAAAACAAAAAACGAGTGTAAGTTTGGAGCAACCTTCGATTTCCAAATCCCAGATTACTGTTTAGTTACTTTGATTTTAACTTTCTAATTATCTTTGAGCAGTTAATGGAGTCGACCCAATCCAAACCCGGCCCACTGTGCAATCCCGAAGGCTCGCAGAGAACCCTGTATGCTTTCTTAACGTTTGATTTTTAAGTTTTTATGTGCATTTTTGGTGTCTGGGGATTTGGGTAACTGGGGTTTTGCGGATTTAGCTTTTTGTATGAAAATTTCAATCCTTTAATTTTTTATTTTGTGTTTTTATTATTTTTTTATTTTTATTTTTTTTAATTTTATAATTTGTTTGATCGAAGGTACCCATATGTAACTGGTACATCTGTTGTGGCTCTCAAGTATAAAGATGGAATTTTGATGGCTGCTGATATGGGAGGTTAGCTTCCAATTCCATTACCCTTGCATCACAAAAGCAAGTTTTGATTTTTATTTTTGGGTCCATTATTTGATTTAGCTTCTTGTTTGGTTACGGGAAATTAAGATTTGATGTTAATGCTGAGTATATATTGTTCCTGGTGTTTGAAAAAAGTGGGATTCTTTCCGCCATTTCTGTTTAGCTTCTTGTAGTGAAAATTGTTGTGAAATCTTTGGAGTTGTTCGTGTAGGCTTGTCGTATTTGTTTCACTTTATCTGAAGGAGAAACAGTTCAAATGCGAGTCTTTTCAAAGTTAGATACATTAGTTTTTGTGTTCTTGTATAGTGCCCTGCTCCGGCTCTTAATGGTCAGACTGGATTTTTAGATCACCTAATGTGGTTTTCATGTGTCTGTTGAGGTTTTCTTACAGTATCTCCTATTTTTACGTTATGGTTATGGCTTTATCAGTCATAGACATCATATATTTTTTTTAGCGTCGGGGATCCTATTGTTCATGACTCAAAAGTTAGACGCCCATGTCTGTTTCTTTTTATGTGTCTGTTAAGGTCTCTTAACAGTATCAAAATGATGGATGTGTTGATAGGTTCTTATGGCTCTACCCTGCGATACAAGAGTGTGGAAAGAATGAAGCCAATTGGAAAGCATTCTCTTCTTGGTGCAAGTGGAGAAATAAGTGACTTTCAGGAGCTCTTACGTTATCTTGATGAACTTGTGTAAGCATTATTGAATAAGAAAAATTAAGAAAATAAGCGTTTGGCTACCTTCTATAATGTTTCCATTGTGATTTTTTTCTAAGCTTCTTTTATTATTTGAAACAGTTGGTTTAGGATTATTCATTTCGATTTTCTGGTTGTAGCCTGTATGACAACATGTGGGATGATGGGAACTCTTTGGGACCTAAAGAGGTGCACAACTATTTGACCCGTGTGATGTACAATAGGCGTAACAAGTTCAATCCATTGTGGAACTCTCTTGTCCTCGGTGGAGTGAAAAATGGACAGAAGTACCTTGGCATGGTAAACCTCCCTTAGTCCTTCCCTTAACACATTGTAGTGTGCTGTGTGCATCCTGAATCAGTTGACTTAGTTGCTTGTAATACTTTTTATCTTTATTCAGGTTAGCATGATAGGTGTAAATTTTGAGGACAATCATGTGGCTACGGGATTTGGAAATCACCTTGCACGGCCTATTCTTCGTGATGAGTGGCATGAGAACTTGACTTTCGAAGAGGCTGTAAAGCTGCTGGAGAAGTGCATGCGTGTCCTTCTCTATCGAGATCGGTCTGCTGTGAACAAGCTTCAGGTAGTGATTACTTAAACGTTATTTTCTGTCTTTTGGCACCCTATAATAATGACAATGTTATAAGTTACAGATTTCATAGTTTTTAGGCTGTTAAGAACAGCTTAGACCTTTTTGCTAGCAATTCCTGTGGGAATTCTTATCTGTCTATCAGTTTATTTTCTTTAACTGGCATATAAAGCTGCCCGTCTGTCGTCTTTGATGTTTTTCAGCATTTATAAACCTTGCTATTATTGTCCATGTAAGTTCTCATATCTCTCTGTCTTTCAACACGTGCACGTCCAAATATTTCTTTTTGCTAAAGATTTGTCGTTCTGTAGTTATGTGAGACAAGCTACAGTACTAGGAGTATGCTTCCTCCTTGTCTGCGCTCATTTTTTAGTGCAGGAAGTGTTCTAGATTGAGGTTGAGGAAGTATATAATTGTTTCATTTCTACACATTTTCTTACACTTTTCGAAATGATTATAACTGTAGTGGGAAAGTCTTTGCGTTCAAAAATTAGTATCCTTAGTAAATTGAGGACTTCCTACTAATTTATTGTCACCCTTGAACATGCATCGGTGCTAGTAAGATGACACATTTTAAACTTGGTAATTGCAGATAGCTAAAATCACCGAAGAAGGCGTAACAATTTCACAGCCCTACTCTTTGAAGACATTCTGGGGTTTCTCTGCGTTCGAGAATCCAACATTGGGTGCTGAAGGATCGTGGTAGAGAGCCAACTAGGAGCTACTGTTTGATGAGCTACTGTTTGATGCGTTTCTCGAGTTGTTGGAATGCATTGTGCACAATGTGTGCTAAATTGAACTACTTTCCCTGAAGCATTGCATGTTCAAGACAAATTGTAAACCTTGAAAGACGAAAGAGATTCATAGAATTTCACTTCCAGAGTTGCCCAGAAAATAAACCAGAACCATAAGACGGTCGAGATTTTCGCTCTCTTTATGTTACATTGGAAGAAATTATTTTTGTCATATATTTCTTTACCCTCAATAATTGCACTGCGCACTACATTTCATGCTAAATATGTGAAAGCAAATTAGTTTGTTATGAACACGACTTTCATTTCTTTTCGCATGAATTTTATCTTTTTTGTGTGAAATTTTAACGTGATAGTTAACCACAAATGCACAAGAACAAAGTTTTCAAACAAAAAATTTTGTTTTTCTGAAAATGTTTGTCATAGATTTAGTTCAGATTCTCGTTAAGATATTGGAGGAAATTAAAGTAATATGTTTAGTTTCATTTTGAAATAGGCTTAGGGGTGTATTGGAATAAAATTATGTGAAATTTTAAATGGAGTTTTATCATGCACAAACCATATCTCCAAATAACATCATCAATTTAGTGATATTTTGGACTCGTCCACAGACAATGGAAATATCAATTTTTTGTTTCAATTTCTTCTACAGATTCCATGTGGACTTTTAAGTGAATTCTCTCGAAATCTAGGCTAAATTAGTCTTCTTGTTCCAATTTCTTCTACAAATTCTATGTGAACTTTTAAGTTAATTCTCTCAAAATCGGGGCTAGGTTTATCAAAACCTAACCTACACAAGCACAAGATAAGACATTTGAAGAAGCTAATTTAAAGCCTAAAATTTTAAGTTTTAACCAAGAATTGGAGAATGTACTGTATATCAATTCAATGAAAGTAACAACTGGGAAACCAGGGACTAACAGTTCATATTATTGTATAATGTAAAACACACCCTATGAATGAATAACCTTCGTAAAATTTTCTATCCCAACCTGGGCAGTCATATATAGAAATGAACTCCAAGTTATAATTTTTTTTACCGTGTTCAAAAAACTCGTGTTCACTTACTGCAAAAATATGCAATGTCATAAATAAAGATGAACTAAAATACTTAATTGTTTGGGGCAATTTTCTTAGAATTGATATCACTCATTTGAGCTTGCCGGTACGTAATCACTCGTCAACATGAACACATACTTGGTGAAGCCATAATGTTTCTTGCTTCTCAAGCATGTTTACAGATAAGTATTACATACATGCGCACTAGATTTCACAATTTGGGTGCCTTTTTTCCCATCTTACATCTTGAAAAGCGCAATATCGCATTGCACAGATGAAGATATACGAAAATTTTAAAAACCAGGCACTCAACACGACAATATTGGAATAGTATAACAATCGGGAAGACACATGCCAACAGTACTCACTTCCCTTACAGGAGGTGAGCACTTCGGAAGAAAAGGGACATAAATCATAAGCTTATAGCAACTTCTGACCTCAGTTTGTTCCTTAGAAATCGGTCGAAACACAAATTGTTCCCTTTGATTTACAAGTACCGAGCATTGTCAATTTATAAGAGTTACTGAGCAATTGGGACAACTCCCAGTTTTTATCATTGCCTTTTTTCTTTTGTCTTCGTCCTCCTTTGAACAGGAGGACAGTGCATGGTTTTACACTTTATCATCATGGAACCACCACCTCGTCTCCTTGGGAGATCTGCCATTTCTACAGTTCTTTACATATCGGTCATTATCTTCTGGGCGTTGCTGCAGGCATATACAAAAGGGCTTCAGATACACATCCCCAACACATTTAGAATCTACTATACCATTGAATTGATAATCAACAAGGGAATGTCCATCTTTCACAAATTAATGATCGGTCATTTCCCCGTTTGATGGTTTTAGCAGAATAAATTGATGGGACATGATCTAGGCTTGCTAGTTAAAAGAACTGAAATCACCAAAGATACAAAAATTGAAGTGGAACACAAACCTTCACAGTCGAGCTTGATAGCATGGAGAGAATGCTAATACAGATGGAACTAACAGTCATGGCTGGTGACCATGAATCATACAAAATATCTACAAAATCCCATATCAACCATAGATCACATAATATGAGGGCCGTGAGAGTAAAATGAAACAATATATTGTTCTAAATACGGTATAACTAAAATTCAGTCAGTGGATTTATAATGGATCAAGATATTGTTTGATACAGCATGCAGTAAGTAATGACAACCTAAATCTGTTGTTAAGCAGTATAGCGTCCCCAGTTTAGTATCTAATATCTACCAATTATTCAAATCTCCGGTAAAGATAAATTTAGCTTAGTTGACAGACAACATAAATCAACATTCAGTAGGATTTCCAAGGCCAGCTTTATAGGCAACCCCCCTTCCCTACCCTCTCCTCTCTTTTCCTCAGTTTATCCCTCCCCGTTTGCAATAGGGTCTTGAAAGTCATCACAACAGCTGATAAAGGAGTGAAGGCCTTATTATCTCAAACAAAATTTATATCAGCTAGCTGAAAACTGCATGTTTTCAGCAAGAGATTGAGATAAAAGCACCATACTTTCAGGCAACACTTACCACATGTTTTAAGCAATGATAATAAAATTGTGTGTTAAAAGAAAGAAAATACAAGAAGAAGCAACAAAGGAAGACGTGAGCCCATTATAAAGACAACTATCACTTTCAGGTTTCAACAAATGAGCGAATGCAGCAAATCAAGCAAAAGAAACATTTTCTTGCTGTAACTAAATACAAATCAGATATCAAACGCTTAACTGAAACCCATAAATTACCTAAACAAATATGACCGTTGCTATAAATATGAGGATGTAGTGGAGCTGGAGGGACAAATATAACCTGTTCAAACCAGCCACAAGTATACAGACCCAAAACCGGTTAAGTGCTTCATGAAAATCAAAGTCCACCCAACACAATATCATTCGCAACATATATCTTGAAGCAAAGTCATATCACACAATCTAATGAATTTGCACAGACCTGCGGGGCTTCCATCGGGTAATGCTCAGGAAAATCAACCTGAAGCTGAAAGGTCTCATTAGAATAGAGAGTTCCAGGAGCTCCATTGACTTCAATCACCCACCTTTAGGATCACAAATACCAAAACACAACAATTAAAATTGAACCAACTTAACTAAAGCCGAAAAGCACGAACATTGAAGGACAAAAATACACATCATAAACCCTAAAGAGTTGGATTTCAATTTCCCTAAACAAAACAGTTCAAAAAGGGGTAATTTAAACTGAAAACCCAAAAAGAGTAAGACTATGTAAATTCCGAATTCTCCTCTTCCTCCAATTCCAATGAATTATCTTTTCTCGAGAAACAAACAGAGAGTAGAAGAAAAAAAAGAGAAGACCTTTGGAGATTATCGGTGACTTTGTGCTTGAAGCCCACCGGAGGATTGACCTGCCACTCCAGAAGCTCTTTCTGGAGCCGATTGCAAGCAATCTTACTCAAAGTCTACAAATTCCAAAACCCAACAAAATCAACAACCAAAACCCAATAAAAAAATCAAAACCCAGAAACAGAAATTGCATGGAAAAAGTGATTGGGAGTAAAATTAGGGCAAACCTTGCGGCCAGAGGCGGAGGAGCTGGTCATGCTTTTCTCCGGAAATTGGTCGAGAGAGAGAAATAGAAGAGAGAGAGAGAGAGAGAGTTTTAGAGAGAGTTTTAGAGAGAGAATGTGAGGATGGAGGAGGTGTTGACAAGAGAGGGAGAGAGGGAGAGGGGGAAAAGGACAAGGGGAGGGGAGGGGGAGGGCACGGTTGATTTCACAACTGGTATCGGGTGCTCCCCACCATATCCGATTTCTTTACTTTTATATTTTCTTTATTCTTTATCTTTGCCAAGGTGCTGCCTCGGTAGACGACGTCGTCGCCTCTTTGATCTGCCATCACACCGTCCCTCTCTCTTTGTCTTTTTTATTTTTGACTTTGTCGTGGTGGTTGTCGGACTTTTTCAAGTATTTGGACACTTCAGTTCCTACCTATTGTTGTTTGACATTTTAGCTAAAATGATTTTTAATATTCGTATAACTTTTGACTTTAGATTTTGAGATTTGAATTCAATAGAAGTAATTTCTGAGTTTGCATACCGTCAAGCATTTTGGTTATTCAGTGAAAAATCTCTATTAAAGAATACCTAAATAACAAAAATACCCTCAATTTAATAAACAATAAGCCAAAATGATTTGACAAAAATTGAAGATATTTTGGTCATTTTCTCCTTATTTAACAGAGATTTTTCACGGAATGACCAAAATAATTAACGGTGGACAAACTCAGAAATCAATTGTATTGATTTAAATCTCAATGACCAAAGTGAAAAGTTATATCAATCTCAATAACTATTTTGGCTAAAAAGCCTTGTTTTAACCATCTTTACTTGTTGAAAGGATAGATTTCAGATTCAGTTCGATAAGTTTGATAGGTAATCATTATGACAAATCGTTTTGTGAGCTTATCGTAAAATTCCGTTAGAGTATAAAATGAACAAAAATAAACACAAATACTTGTTTTGTTTTATATACATTGAGAGCGCGATTTCTACTCGAGATTCTCCAAGGCAAAGGAGCGGATATACAAAGGTGACTAACTTAATTGACAACAGCAAGTGCAGACACTTCCTTTTTATGCTCTACTGATAAAATTACACTAAACAGTAAGAGATTTGAGTTAAAACACAAAGCAAATCATCTATAATAACTTAGTATCGAACTTATTTACACAAATCAAACCCGTAATTTCTCACTTACAAATTAAAACAAAAATCCCACATTGTAATATTGTAGTGTTAAGTGGCAAATGCTTTTTTAATCTATGCATCTGGATAGGTTCATGCTTACACCACTTGTATGTAGGGACTTTCTATTTGCCTTCACTTTCCGTCAACAGAGAAGAAAATGCACTTTGCCTTCATTATTTATTTTCAGTATATGCGTCGGCCACTTTGCTTAGAAAGAAGAGCTCCAGAAAGTGAAAGCCGAAAGGCAGTTTGCACCTTTGAACTAAGGTTCCACTTCTTCCACCCAACTTCATGAATATTTGCTCACACCAAGCACTTTCACAACCAGGTGGATTAGGTTGAATATTTAAGTGACTTTCGTAAAGAATTTGATTCTTCGACTATATTGTCAGCGGTTGGAAGGATTGGAACTTTGAACCTTTTTTAATATTAAGGTTTTTAAACTATTGTTGTAACGATGAGTCTGCATGGTAGGCCGAAGCAAAAACCGAATCAAAACTAAGTGGCAGCTGAGGCAACTTTATGATTGATAACTGTTTTTAGTATCTTTAAGCCACTCGTATTAGTGCAATGCTGACGGTGGGTAAGAGTAGGCTAGGTAAAAAGTTCGGAACCCTGCAACGTATCCAATTAATATATTATAAGAGATTAAAGAGTTTGAAACTATTGCAATAATTTAGAAGATGAAGAGTTTCGAATAACAGACACACAGATAAAAACTCAATACCCTACCACTAACATAATATAATATAACGGAATTGGATCCGCTCCAGACCTATGTGTCCGGAGCATAAGGATCAACTAATTTGGGCCACACAAATTGAATTCAACAGTCTTTATTAACTCATTTTCCTGACCCACGACACACAACCAACAACTTTGATTTCTTTTACACACCAATCAGCAGCCAAATAGATTGATTCTTAGGCTTTGGACGCTAAGGTCTGGAGTGGATCCAATTCCTAATATAACACCCCAAAGGGCTAGTATCTTTGAATATTTCTACCAAGTAAAGAAAACCAATTTGTAAGGTCATCAGTTTACTTTTCCTCTAAGTTATGGACATAATTAGGGTTAGCATATTCCTGCCTTGATTAATGGAAGTGTTCCCGGATAATTTGTCCATTGGGAAGCCAATCTTGCAATATTTGATTATATTCTTGGAAAGTCGACATTCTTAATAGGGAGATTATATTCACAGATCCCAAATTACTTTCCCCGTACTTTTTTAATTTTTTAATATTTTTCCATCAAGTGTTAGTGATGTGTAGAAAATATTAAAAAATTAAAAGGATGTGGGAGAAGTAATTTGAGATGTGTGAATATAATCTCTCTCTTAATATCCTTTACAAGTATTCTTTTTCTCTCCTCATTATAACCGTTGATCTTTTTTATCTTAAGAGTAACCATGAAATCGTGTCATGTTTTAAACCGTACGATTTTAGAATCATGTGGTGTTTAAACGTGTCAAGTTTGCCATAATTAATAATTTTTTTTATCTATATTATAATGAATACAGCTTTTTTAACGTCATCGCCATCGTTTCTCTTGATCAACGCCCACATTCATGTCACATATTCGACGAGATTTAGAATAAATGAAAAGAAAATAGTTGACTTTTCTTTTAAGGGTAGAAGTTTGGATGCCAAATCGTAACAGAAGATGGAGTTTGAATGTTTAATTGTAAAAGGACTTAGTTCATATGGTAATTGCACAAAAACTGAAAGTTCAGGTGCCATTTATGTTATTTTCCCATAGTTAACACAAGTGAGAAGCGTTATTGGGCCGGCCCAACTAAAAACGACATGTCGTCTCTCACACTATTACTGGTTTCTTTCCTGACAGTCGTAAATCGTTAGTCCTATCCAACTCTCTCTGAGGCAGAGAAGCTGAGAAGCGCGAACACAATCTCGCCAATGGCGTCGTCGCTCTCGTCGTCCCTGTCCTCGATCTTGAACAACCCACACTGCGCGCTGCGCCTGAAGTTCCAGAGGCCGTCCTGCTTCACTCTCGGGTTCCTCAATTGGGGACCGGAGAAGTCCGGTTCCCGATGCTACCACCGCCGCCAGCAGCTGCAGCCTCGGCCACAAAGGAGGAGTCTTGGCCGCAGTAGCTCCAGAAGCTTCTCGAATTCTAGTCCCAACGCTTCTTCTCTCTCCGGCCAGTCCGGTGGCCCCAGCCTCCGCCACTTCGTCGCTCAAGCTGCTCTCACCGGTGCTGAAGCCCAGCCCCAGTGAGTCCACAGTTCATAGCCACACATACAGTGTCATTTTTGTAAATTTCAATGTATTTGTCAAATTTTAAGGAGTTTATGCGGTAATTCGAATGGTTATCTTAGAAAGACTTAAAGTAATGATCTTTGTTATATAATCTGCCGCACAGAAGCAGCTTTGTTTTTTTTTGGTTGCGCAAAATCAGCTTTTTTAAACATCCAAAATTAACTGGCTGTTGAGTTATAAGAGATGTAGCAATGCTAGTGCATTTGGTCCAAAATGTTACTGTGATGTTTTGCCATGTTTGTAGGAGAAATTTTCCGGATAGTTCATAGACGAAAATTGAACATAAAAGGACAATCCAGCAACTCTTGATCAACGTCTTTCGATGTTCTTACACCCGAATTTCATATTGTGCACACTCTATTTCATGCTTAGCTTTTCCCTTTTTTTCTGTGTAGGAATGTGAATGTGACTGCTACAGAAGTTGCTCCAATAGGTCGTATCTATCACGAGACTTATGGGTGTCAAATGAATATTAATGACATGGAGATTGTTCTGTCTATTATGAAGAATGCTGGGTATAGTGAAGTCGTTGATGTCCCTGAGAATGCAGAGGTTATTTTTATTAACACCTGCGCTATCAGGGACAATGCAGAACAGAAGGTTTGGCAGCGGCTTAATTATTTTTGGTTTCTTAAGAGGGAATGGAAGGACAATGTTAAAATAGGGAGGTCGCAGTCCAAACGTCCTCCAAAAGTTGTAGTTTTGGGATGTATGGCGGAGAGGTTAAAGGACCAGATACTCGATTCAGACAAAATGGTTGATGTGGTTTGTGGGCCTGATGCATATAGAGACTTGCCGAGATTGTTAGAAGATGTGGACTATGGTCAGAAAGGAATCAATACTCTTCTTTCGCTGGAAGAGACTTATGCTGATATTAGCCCTGTTCGAATCTCCAAAAATTCAATTAGTGCTTTTGTTTCTGTTATGAGGGGATGTAACAATATGTGCTCATTTTGCATTGTTCCTTTCACTAGAGGCAGAGAGCGCTCGCGTCCTGTGGAATCTATTGTGAGGGAGGTGGGAGAGCTTTGGGAAGAAGGCGTGAAAGAGGTAACACTGCTAGGCCAGAATGTAAACAGCTACAATGATGCCTCTGAGAATGAAAAGGAAGTTGAAGCAGGAACTAATTGGCGATACAGCGAAGGCTTCTACAGCACGTGCAAGGTGAAAAAAGTTGGTTTGCGTTTTGCTGATCTCTTGGATCGACTGTCCACAGAATATCCAGAGATGAGATTCCGATACACATCCCCACACCCTAAAGATTTCCCTGATGAGTTGCTGTATTTAATGCGAGACAGACCTAATATCTGCAGAAGTATCCATTTGCCTGCACAGACTGGGAGTACTGCAGTGCTAGAAAGAATGCGTCGTGGCTATACCCGTGAGGCATACTTGGATCTTGTGCAAAAGATACGGAGAATTATTCCAGATGTGGGCATCAGCAGTGATTTCATATGTGGTAAGTGTTCTTATCAATGTTCTGTACATTCTGGTAATCTTGCTTACAAAACTTGCATTCAACTTTCAGTGAGGAGAAACTATCAGCTTTTGTTTTCCCTCTCTACCATATTTCTGTATATGTCACTTGTGGTGCCCTGTGGAAATCTCTTACAAGGTAATAGTAGTGTTCAAATATTCTTGGAAGGAGGGTTTTGCTTGAAATATCTAGTTTCTCTCTTCACAGGTTGTTAGAGATATCAGAATTTTATGATCAACTTCGATTTTTTTATTTGGGAAGGCTACCGATGCATGAGATTGGTTAATTGATCCTTCGTCCTTAGTTTAGAGTTGTGCATTCCTCTTTTCCTTT